GGAAATCAAGTATCCTAAGTGCCACTACCACAAAACTGAGCAGTCAAAAAATACGTTTTATTGCTTTTTTCTGAAGTATCTTAGTGCAGTTTTGTCTTCATTCAACAACTGTTACTCACAAAAAATGGAGTTGATTACAAGAAGATTTTTGTAGTTATCTTGCTGTCAAATCTGAGTCATTACAAGGTTGTGGTGGTTAATGCTATGAAGGTGGTTCAGTTTTTGCTTTCCATTAGGTTTGTAGAATAAAATGAAGAACGCATACAAGTTGTCCCACAGTAAATCACAAGTTAGTACACTTGCCTTGACAGTGAAGATAAACCTTTGAGCGTGTCAATTAAATAGCTTGCAGGATACATAAGTACTTTCAGGGAAAAAAATCCATTCTCAAATAAGTAAACCTACTATTTCACAGACTGGCAGCTTAAAGTAATAATATTTATCTTGCAGGGTTCGCGACCAGTTTCCAGGAACTGAAATGGAGAAATATGCACTTTTTACTTACGAATCCCTGAAGAAAACCAAATGCAGAGAGTTTGTGCCATCGCGGGATGAAATAGAAGCTCTGATTGGCAGGCAGGAAATGACATCCACAGTTTATTGCCACGGTGGGGGCTCTTGCAAGATTACAATCAACTCGCACACTACAGCTGGAGAGGTGAGAAGTGGTGACAGAAGGGCTTTGGCTCAAAATGAGCATGTCCCTTTACGTGCCGGTTCCAGCCAGTAGTAGCAGCATTAAGCTTTGGAAGCGCGGGGGGTTTCTCTACCAGTCTCTCCTTTCAGGGGAGGGAAAGCCTACAGAGCTGTCCCTCCAACCCCCCAGCATGTTCTGAAGAAATCCCTGCTATAAAAACTGCCTTTATTCTTTAGGGGATTACCCAACTATATTTCCTTCTTACAGGAAAGACTAAGCAATTCAGTAGAGGCATTATTGGAATTACTTCAGTAGATATTGGTGGTTCTGAGAACCGAGTTGCTTCCTAAAGCTGGAAAACTCTTGTGAGTTGATGAAATACAGGAGTTATACCTGGCCAGATGATAGTGTACACATATTCTAAAAGAATCAGCATTATTTAGTATAAAAATGAAAGTGGAATTTGACAACAGTTAATACTGCTGGTGAGAACATGTTAGCAACATTTTTAATCTAATGTAAAACCTAGCTCTGAATTTTCGTCTAATTATTTGTCTTACACTGTGGTGCTGCTTTTCTATGCTATGTTTTTTTCCTGTGCTGTTTTTCATTAGGTGGTTGAAAAGTTAATTCGTGGCTTGGCCATGGAGGATAGCAGAAATATGTTTGCTTTGTTTGAATACAATGGAACTACTGATAAAGCAATTGAAAGCAGAACCATTGTGGCTGATGTCTTGGCAAAGTTTGAAAAGTGAGTGTGCCTCTCCTCCTGTCTCACCACTTTAATAAGTAGCAATTAAATAAATTTCCAGTGTCAATAAATGCGGAATTTTCTCTTTCTCTTGCTTGTTTGTGATGACACAGCTGAATTACACACATGGCCTTTTCTGGAATAAAAGCATCTTTTTTTTTTTTTTTAAAGGAATTAATGAGCCACCTATTCACTTGCGTTTGGCTTTTCTTCGTCTTTTCACCAGCAGAGTAATTTTTCTCATTACTATTTCCACATTTTTCTTTTCCACCACTACAAAGTTTTCTGCCGTTACTAGCACTGTGGCTGCCCCAGTATGGGAGAACTGAACTGCAGGCAGCCATTACCATTCTGACTACCTGTTGCCTGACTTCACATAGAAGTCACCACAGTGCAGCTCACAACATTTTTCTTACCAGTAAAATTGAAACCACCCGTAGCACTGTAGTAAGAAAATGTACTACAAGCCTAAATATCTTTTTGTCATCCTTAATATTATATACATGGCAATCAGCCTCCTTTATCCATATAATAACGGGGGCAAAAAAGGAATGTCTAAAGTGTTGTGCAATTACTTTTTGTAACAGGACTTAATAATGTTGCTTTTATCAACACCTGACTGAACCACAAATACAACGTTTATTAAGAGAATTTGGCTTAGAAACAGTTGACTGAGAACTGAGGTAATATTTAAAGTCCTTGATTTTTCTGTAGGCTCTAAATACGCACACACACGTACCTATATGTTTCTCTCTCTAGCTAGCTAGCTCCAGATGACATCAGTTAGGTGTACTGCTGAAAACAATTAGCTCCTGTCAACAATACCAAATTCGTAGCAGCTGTAACAAAGCAAAATTCAGCTGATGCCTTGCTGAGATTCTTCAGGTGTCAGTTGAGAAAGGAGTTTGATTTCACAGATCTGATCTCCCTCTCCCTCTTCACATACCCGTGCAGGCTTGCTGCCACTGCTGAAGCTGGAGAGATGCACTGGAAGTTCTACTTCAAGCTCTACTGCTTCCTGGACACAGAAAACGTCCCTAAAGATAGTGTGGAATTTGCCTTTATGTTTGAGCAGGTAAAGGACAAAGGGTCTGTTTTGAGGTGCTTTTAAGAGGAGGAAAAAAGCAAGAGATCTAGACGGCACAGAGAGAGTTATGATTATGCTTCTGTTTAACTAATCGTGCTACTACTCAAGCATCAAGCGCTGAGAAAGCAATTCGGTGGTCAAAATAGGCTTATCCTGACATAAGTGAAGCGCATATGATGTACTTTTACTTCTGCGTTACTTGTGAATTGCTTTATGTATAGTGGTAAAAAAATTGGATAACTGGGTCTAAGCTGGATAAAAAAGAAAAGGATAATATTGCTTTTAATTTTCTTCTTATGTAACCATTTTCTTAAGAAAGTACAGGAAATAGAGTGAAAAATGTGTACTTGGCAAGCAAATTAATTATTAGAGACCCAGGTTGGCAGCTGTACAGAACTAATCAAACAATAGCTTTTTCTCTTTTTAAGAACTGATTGGTATTTCATAGGCACCATAGTAAAACAAATCAATCCGGTCTCAGCACTAACCATAAGACAGCTATGATGAGACGAAATCCACTTAATGAATGTGCTGAGCTCAGAATGAGGCCATATTGCAAAGCATAAAACAAGTGAGATTGATTTATAATGAAAATTAAACGCATCAGCAGTTGGATTTCTATTATATGAAGTCCTGTAGTTGCTTGGACTCTCTCACTGATGGCATTTATTATTGTTGATTGATTTTCGCCTTTTCTACTGTATTGCAAATGGCTAAAAATTCTTCCAGTGGACAGCTTCTTTCAAGGGGGCACTAGAGACAGATAAAGATTTCTGTGTAAGGCTATTTGCAATGTGGAGACACTGATGTTCTGTTGGTAAGCAAGCGTGCTGCCATCAAGAAGTGACATATTTCAGTTCTCAGTTTTCGTATGTGTGAAGCTTTTTCTCCTTCCACAGGATCAGAAGCATCTTCACTGCAATAGAGTATTTCTTCCTTGTTCACAGTTTAGGTTTTAAGGCACTATATTACATCATGAGTCTACCAAAAGTCTCTTCCAGAGCCTACTACTGTAGCTCAATCCAGAGCTTATTGCTGGCTGAGGGATCTGGGCAGCAGGTTGCCTTGGTTGGGCTTAGAAATGTTGCTATTCTGACTGTCTGGTTTTACATATAGAGGAGTCAGCCAGTTAATGCCTCTGCTTTGGGATGAAGTTTAAACAGTAAGAAAATCCATGGGAGCTCTGCATCAGATATTTTACGTTACGTTATTGGCTTAAGAGGCAGATTTAGATAGTTTTCCGTATGAACAACTAAAACAAGCACATTCGCTGAAGCAGATTGTTTGCATGCAGCATTCTGTGCTGACTGGTGTTTAGCCAAGTATTTTATGTCTTGCCAAGACCAATAGTGTTTCAGTTATAAAGCATGGCACATTTAATCCCTACAGTTAATATAACAGCAATATCTTAGAGGTGACTTACTACATTCTAACATCAGTTCTGTCTGCTTTTGATGTCAGTCATTGACTTTTTTCAGCCAACTGAGAAAGTTCCCTTTTGTCATCAGTTTTAGTTGTGTAACCTCCATTATTTTAAAGTCTGAATCCCTTAATTCATAAGGCGCTGAAGAAAATCTTTTAGTTCCTTTTTTCTCAATAAAACACTCTCCTTCCATTTCCACAAGACAGCTCTTTCTTCTGCATGTGTGCAATCTCAGGTAAACCACCTTGCATGTTTAAAAGCACGTTTTGTCTCCGTCCTAAGTGTACACCTAAATGAACTAGCTCTTACTTAGATGTGAATTATCTCTGTGTGTTTACTAAACTGCATGCAATTCCTGCATCTCCAGACATGAGGCGTGTTTGTTTCCTGTATTAGTGTCAGATGAAAGAAAAAAAGAAAAGAAAAATGATAGCTGCTGCACACTTCCAAAAGTTTGAATGGGTGCGCAAAGAGCTGGGATTTGAAAGAGTCATCTTGGTTCAGAATCTCATCCCTGATGGTATAGACCACTATAGCATGTAAACACGTTACTAACTTTATCTGGGATCCATTGGAGATTTACTGTTTCCCCTCAGTGAGGTTTATTGCAAAGCTGTCCTAGGGCTTTGCTTGTGTGGCTGGCAACATCACTTTTCACAGCCAAATTATAGTCAGCAGTAAGCAAAGCTAGATACACGTCTTCCTAATGCCCTTGAACGTAGATGGCTTCCTCCTGGTCAGGTGTTTAGATTCTGATTTTCTCCCCTTCACATTTTATTTTCCTCTTCAGTAATTCAGTTGCTCTTATATATGTGAGTTCACTAGGAGCTGCACTAGTAACAGTAATTCTCATTTAGCAAGTTACTCAATTGCCTTGCAGTTCTTCTGGTAAACCCTGTCTTACCCAGTTCAACAAATTTACCAAGAGATTTACCACATTAGATTTATTTAATGGATTATTTATTTCAGATCCTGGGTTTGCCTGGCAGTAAATCTACTTCCCATTTCTCTCTTAGTCCTTTCAAAGTCTCATTTACCCATAAGGAGCTACCTTTTTCCCCTCCATAGGCTCATGAAGCGGTGATTAGAGGACATTACCCTGCCCCCGAAGAAACCCTCCAGGTCCTTGCAGCTTTGCGTCTTCAGTACCTTCAGGGAGATTACGCTCTGCACACCACCGTACCCGAAATGGAGGAAGTCTATCCCTTGCAAAAGCTGAAGTCTCGGATTACACAGTCTACCAAAACATTTACTGCAGCAGAGAAGGCTGAGAAGAAACGAGCCAGCTTTCTTGAAGGAACATTGCGCAGGAGTTTTCGTAGTGGCTCTGTCAGCAAACAGAAGGTTGAGGAGGATCAGATGTTAGACATGTGGGTCAAAGAGGAAATCTCAGCTTCCAGGACTAGTATCATTGACAAATGGAAAAAACTCCAGAGGATGAACCAGGAGCAGGCTATGGCAAAGTATATGGCTTTGATTAAAGAATGGCCTGGCTATGGCTCAACACTCTTTGACGTAGAGGTGAGTATGACCTCCTGAACACTTTATGCTGCATAGATGGTGGTTTCATTAGAGTAGGGAAACCATAAATATGGTATCGCAGTGCTTACATGGCTGATGTGGTAAAATGTTAGATACTAAAAGCATACTCCCATTAGCAAGCACTGTAGCCATTTAAATCCACTGGTTAACCATAAAATACAGAGGGACCAGAATGCTAGCCTGATGGGTTGCAAACAAGTCTAGGAGAAGTGTAAAAGGCTACATTCACAGAATCACAGAATCGCAAGGGTTGGAAGGGACCTCGGGAGATCATCTAGTCCAACCCCCCTGCTAAAGCAGGTTCTCCTAGAGCAGGTTACACAGGACTTCATCCAGGCAGGCTTTGAATATCTCCAGAGAAGGAGACTCCACAACCCCCCTGGGCAGCCTGTTCCAGTGCTCTGTCACCCTCAGAGTAAAGAAGTTTTTCCTCCTATTCAAGTGAAACCTCTTATGTCTCAGTTTGTACCCATTGCCCCTTGTCCTGTCACTGGGCACCACTGCAAAGAGTCTGGCTCCGTCCTCATGACTTCCACCCTTAAGATATTTGTATGTGTTGATGAGGGCCCCTCTCAGTCTTCTCTTCTTCAGCCTGAACAAGCCCAGCTCTCTCAGCCTTTCCTCGTAGGGGAGATGCTCCAGTCCCTTTATCATCCTAGTTGCCCTCCTCTGGACTCTTTCTAGGAGTTCCTCGTCTTTCTTGAACTGGGGAGCCCAGAGCTGGACACAGTACTCCAGGTGGGGTCTCACCAGGGCAGAGTAGAGGGGGAGGATAACCTCCCTCGACCTGCCAGCCACACTACTCTTAATGCACCCCAGGGACAAACAATGTGCAGTTTTTAAAATACGGTTACAGACAAGAACCTCAACAGTAAGTGTTGTGTGGCTCCCACTGTTCCCTTTGCTGTTAATCTACATTTTTTCCTCTAGTGTAAAGAAGGGGGATTCCCACAGGAGTTGTGGCTTGGAGTCAGTGCCGATGCAGTTTCTGTCTACAAGCGTGGGGAAGGCAGGCCTCTGGAGGTGTTTCAGTATGAGCATATCTTGTCATTTGGTGCACCACTTGCCAACACCTACAAGATTGTGGTGGATGAGAGAGAACTGCTTTTTGAAACTAGTGAGGTAAGAGCAAGAAGGAATTTTGTTATTGTGGTCTTACTGTTCTAATAGCCATCTGCTTAGTAATTTGAGTAATTGCTGCAAATGTTACAGATTTATTCAAGATCCCTGTAAAGCTATAGGGGAAGATGTAGTGAGATGGGTAGAAGTGTTGAGCATTTTTATTTGTTTAACCACAAAAGGGTTTTGGTGAAAGCTTGACAGTTTTATATTGTTAGTGTCTAAAGAAATTCATTCGCATATTGTCACCTTACTAAGAACTTTGCTTTTTATACTGTTTTGGCAGGTGGTTGACATCGCAAAGCTGATGAAAGCTTACATCAGTATGATTGTGAAAAAACGCTACAGCACCTCTCGATCCGTGAGTAGTCATGGAAGTCAGGGCAGCTCCAGGTGAAAACAAAACCAGTTCTGCCATGCTCTAAATAGAACATACCGCTGTTGGCCTCAAAACGACCTGATGATACTGATCACATCTGTTGACAAGCTAACAAAGAACCAGAGATTCCATGGAAAATGTCTTCAAGCATTGTTTTAGAAAGACCACAGGGCGGGGAGGGGAAAAATCAGCTGAAATAGTCACATACTGGAACTGCTGGCTCGTCCAAAACTTTCCAAAGCATTATTATCTTCAGTTGATGTAACAAATGCCTTAAGACTTGATCCACTGCAGTACAAGCAGTAATAAGTGCCTTACAAGATTAAACCCAACTTGTATTGACCTAAAATTGCTGATAAAGGAGGGGTTTTTTTATCCTTCCAGAACACTGAAAACAAAGTTATATTCCTCAATTCTGCACTAATGTACTGGCCTGTATACATGTGGGAAGGGGGAGGGAAGAAGAGCAAGGTATATTTTTTTTTTTGGAGAGCTGCTGGCAGCCTTCCTGATTGATGCCAACATTTTGTTTCCCCTCGCTTCCATGGATGCGCACATTGTGCGTGCGTACTTGAGCTGTCAGTAAAATTTGACTAATTTTATTCTGTATTTCACAAGTCTTTTGAAGCAAAGGGAATAAGTATGTGCAATGGTGTAAACAGTCTTTCTGTACATTTTAATAGTTCAGAGTTATAGTTGCTACAATTGTATGGTTACTTTATAAGCAGTTTTATTAACAAGAAAATTCCAAAATTTTCATACATTGATTTTACTATTGCAAATATGTATTACCATATAAGTAGCAGAAGTCTGCATTCTGTATCTGCTGTATTATAAAGAGAGATGTAGCTGAGAATACTTATAGACTACCCTAATATGGGAATACAGTTATCAGTTCAATACTCCATAATGTCAGCTTAAGTTTTTAATATTAAACTTTTCTTTTAAAGACAACACTATCTTATAATTCTGGCTGGACTCTCCAACCCAGACTGCCTGCCAAAGGTCAGAGCCCTTCAAGAGTTGACTAGAGAACATGAAGTTATACAATGCTACTGCTTTAATACAGAGTTCTCTGTTTTACCTGCTTGCCTGAGGAAGGTTCTTGACAGTACCCTGTAAATAAATTGGGAGATATCAGCTAATGATAAGCTGATTTTGGACTTCTATTTTTGTACAGAAATACTGTAATATAAGGCAAAACTTTGATCAAAGTTATCTCTGTCCACAGCAAAAAAAAAAACAAACCTGAAAAACCTTACTGTTATTAAAAACCTCAGCCTTTAAGGAATCATGTCTACTTACTAAAAACAACCAAAAAAAAAAAAAGGCCAGCAATAAAGAAAATATATGTGATGTGCTCTGTTTTCACTTCATGCTGAGTCGGACTTGCAGGAAAGCCCTAATTTCATCTGTCTTCTGAGGAGTCACGCCAGGAAGACAGCATAGGCTTATACATATGCTTTTGCTTGGAAAGGTGCACGTGCTTTGTGTTGGAATGGGGCAAGTTTCTGTCTGCGGTCACACCTACCTCCTTGATCAGATGGTACCTGTCAGTTACACCATCAGGATGGAGGGGAAGGACTGCTGAGCAGTTCCCACTCCACAGGTCATGTGCAAGTAAAGCTTTTGCTCTTTGTGTAGCCCTGATGTGAGATGGCTTGGTTTTACTAGCCAGCTACAGCACAGTAGTGCAGCATGCACTGCCCTCATAAGTGTACGTAGCCTTTATAGACTACAAGGCTTGCTATGAGAAATCCTCCACCGTCCTCCAACTGGTAGATACTTTTGGTCACTCCATCTGTGACATGGCCCTTCAGTTCCTAAAAACTTGCTAAATAACACTACTAATTTCATGTCCCCACCCTCTCAGCAAAGGTGAGCTTATCTAAGGAAGACAAGAAAAATAAGAGAACTGTAACTCCAGCATGTCTAGCTATACACACACAGACCATCTGAGACTGCAATACTTCTGATTTTTTCCATATGCGAGTTGTTCAGAAAGAAAGAAGCTGCTCTTAGTAAGGCATCCTTGGAATGACACAATTTATACATTTCAGCCGGCGCAGCAAGAAAGTGTGGTTTCATCTAGGTGCTGTTTGTAAACAGGCTCAGAGAAGTCCCTGCCACATCATCATCAATTGGTCAAAAAACCAGGAAAATATAAGATGACAGTCTTGTTCAGGGTCACAGTCTGACACCATTTCTCCAGTCCCAATTAATCTACCTCCTGACTGACTTCTGCATGCTATCAGCTGTTAGGAGGGATGTTTGCTCTTAGTCAATGCACAGAAGTGCTTGTCACTACATCTAAAACTTCCCTTCATTCATAGCAATTCTACCAACCTTCCATGCAAATCTTAATTCAGTTAGTAGGGTTGAGGCAAATAAAAACTTCCCTAATAGTCGATACTCACAAGAAAGAATGCACAGTTAATCAAAATAAGTACTGCATAATACATATACCTGTGTTTGGAAGTGAGAACGGTGTTCTTTCTTCACATTATAAAATATTTAAAAATTGATTGAGGAGTTGATCTATTCTTGCAAATTATTTTGCTTCAGTAAAAGTTTATTCCAAGAATACATGAAATTTCTTGGTAGAGCTGGAAATTCTCTCCTGCCTGTGAACTCTTCTGTTACAGTAGTAGTTGGGCGTATCTGAGGAGAGGATCTTTCGTCACAAATCAGAACATGTTTTTGCTTTTATTCTTGTTTTGAAGTAAAGGTTTGTGTTTTCAAAAGAACAAACATTGTAGAAGCTTACCAGTGCTTAAAAAGAAGGAGTAGATCTGTATCTGTACTTCTGGACAAGCCATTGTGTTGAGACTACTACACGCTGTAGGCTGAGTGCATCAGAAATCACAAAGAACTGAGCATTAGAAGTTAAAGGGTTGTAGGAGAAACACCATGCCCTGTCCAGTCCCTCTAGAGAGATGGGGAACTTTACATGTTGTGGTCTTCAGGACTTGAAACTATCATATATTTTATGAGAGAATGAAAGGCAGTCATTCCCGCTGCCTGTCCCTGCCCTTGGCACCAGCCCCCACCGCAGTGCTGCAGCTGGCTCTGCTCCCCAGCAGTTACAGTGACCCTGGCCCAAACCCTCAGGCAGGCATGGCAGCATGCTGCACCCTCTGCCTGTGCCTGGTCGAATACAGCCACAGCGAGACATGCCGTGGGACCCCACTGGCCTGATCTGCTGCGAGAGTGCAGGCTGGGCAGAAACTACGCAGTCCAGCCTAGGAACAGTGGCAACTGCCACAGAAATACAACTGCATATCATCTTTTTAGCACACCTTGAAGCTGGCTGTGCCTCAATTCCACCTATGTCCTCAGGCTTCAGGCTAGCACTTCCCTTGTGCCTCATAATACACACATATCCCTTTGTTGGGGTGCCAGAATTCTTCATAAACTCAATTACACAAGTTAAACACAGGAAATTGCTTCACCCAAAAAGTGTTGCATCAGAAACCTAGGTTTCAAGCCCCACATTTCTGTAGCACATGGCTGTAACAGGTACACGCAGGTTTGCACCAGCACAAACACTTAACACAGACATGCTACAGCATTGCGAGTCGTGCTGGCATTAAGTCCATTCTACAGCAACTCAAGCAGAACGCTGGCAGCTTCTTCAATGCTGACAGACTATTTCTCACAGCGTATGCACTCCAGATCATTTACAACTCTCCGAAGTAAATACCGAAGAGTACCTATCAATCAAATATGACAGCACTGTCCTGAATATAACTAATTCTGCATGGTGCCCAGCCCTAGAAACCCACATCATTTCACTCCATCAGATACAGGAATACAGCTACCAGCTGTGCTGTGGCACAACCATACTTTCACACACATATAGGCACACGCACGGCCGCAAGCTGGGTGAGGTTGTGGGGACGGGCATTTGCAATTGGTTTGTGGGACTTTACATCTACCCCTATTTCTCTCAAATGATTGAGTTATTAATGCTAAGTTAAACTGATATCACAAGCAAATATCTAATAAAGTTTAATCTTGAAGGAATCCACTAAGAATATGTCCCATAACACATCAGAAGGCCTTTATGCAACACTTCTAAAGCTACACATGCTGCAACGCTCATGGGAAGCAAGCAGAAGAGGGCAGCAGCAATCCAAAGAAGTGAACTATATTGAGAACAGTTCTATCTATCTGTGGTATGATTTTACCTGGTCTGTATCAAAAGACAACAGGCTGGGGTAGGAGAAGGAAGATGGAGTCCTCTCATCATTCTTGCTGTCCACCAGACATGTGATGAGGGCAACAGCTACTCGGGCTGCTTCTCAGATGTGCCAGCACCCCATCCATCTCTACCTTTTGGCAATCATAAAGTGAAAAATACATTAAGCATCAGAGGGGCTGGAGAAAGGGGACACCAACAAAGCAAAGAGTGAAACCTCAAAGGCCAGAGTTGCAAGTTTCTAACTGAACAGTCACTCCTTTTTATTGATTAAGGGGGGAGGGGGGAGGGAGGAGGAGGAGGAGGTGCTTTGTTTCATTCTGATTACTTGCCCACACTACCCTGTTAGAAGGCTGTTCCTGAACTTCTCTGTAGACATTTTTCCAACATTTCTTGCCTAAAGTTGATTCATGACAAGCACAATCTTTTTATTTTAATAATTTTTCCTCCATGTACATATTTTTACCCACTCCTCCCAACATATTTTTTAAGTAGATGCCTCTTCCAGCCTTCATTTTGCAAGCCAACTCAAGCTAAAACTTTTTAAAATAAACTTCCCTCAAAAGCAAGTTTTCCATTATCCCTAATCAGCCTCATAGCTGCATTTATTACAGTCTAAGTTCTTTAAAAACAAAGGAGGTGAGAATGGTACAGTGTTCTAAACACCTTACTGTTGCTTTGTAACAACAGTACTAAGACTCATCTACTGAAAGTACTTTACCTGTATCTCACAATCTCACTAGTCCTGTTCATAGTGACATCCCTTTAATTCTGCATGGGAATTCTAGACTGATAAAGATGAAAGGAGCGGACAAAG